CCCCTCGTTACAGGTACAAGATATTTGCACAGACAGTAGGCGACGTTGATACAACCCTACCATCAGTTCTTAAAGAATTAGGTACTGCTTAAATAATTTATAAAATAATAATCAATATATTATTGTATTTCTGCTAATATCTTAAGGCGTGTTTTTGAGTAAAAGTGAACTAAAGTTAAACATCAGACCTTTACTGAGGCTGGTGTGCCAGCGGTTCTTTGGAGAGGCGAGAGGTAAGTGAAGTATCAGGTATCACTTGTACTTGTACTTGTTCAGGGTTTGTTGATATGTGTGTGAAACATATACCATCTCCTGTGGAAGCTGCTCAAACCAAAGTGAGAATAGACATCTTTATATTCTATTTGATGTTCCTTTTGTGAACAGATAGAACACACGTACACTGGTATACTGGACGATGACGAGTGGACGCAGAGTCTAATGACGTGTGACTCTGATGGGCCACTAATGGTTCATGTTACTAAACTGTATCCAACTCAAGATGCCACACAATTCCATGCATTTGGACGAGTGATCAGTGGAACATGTAATATGAACTCTTTTATCTTTATTATTATTATTATTATTATTATCATCATTATTATTTATCTTTATTATTATTATTATTGTTGTTGTTGTTGTTGTGTTGTTGTTGTTGATAGTATACAGTGGGGAACAGGTGAGGGTCCTTGGTGAGAGTTTCACGCTAGAGGATGAGGAAGATTCTAAAGTTTGTCAAGTTGGTAGACTGTGGGTGGCAGAGGCAAGGTTAGGGTGTGGTCACTAGTTATTAATAGTTATTAATGGTTATTAATGCACAGATACACTATTGAAATAAACAGAAGTCCAGCTGGTACCTTTGTACTTATTGAAGGAATTGATTCCACAATAACGAAGACAGCAACTGTTACTCAATTGAGTGGAAGTGAAGACGTAATATAAAAATAATTAATAATTATAATATAACTCTAAAACTCTCTCTCTCTAGGCTCAGATATTTCGTCCATTAAAGTTCAACACTCAGTCTGTGATAAAGATTGCAGTTGAGCCTGTTAATCCTTCAGAGCTGCCAAAGATGTTGGACGGACTACGGAAAGTTAACATGAGCTATCCTCTTCTTGTCACTAAAGTAAAACTGTTCATTATAATGAATGATAGAGCTTCACTATGATGGCTCTTCTTCTTGCCCCAGGTGGAGGAGAGTGGTGAGCACGTGGTGTTGGGCACTGGTGAGTTGTACCTCGACTGTGTCATGCATGACCTCAGGAAGATGTACTCTGAAATTGGTGAGAGGATATCTATGATAATTATGTTATATGCATGTACATGTACATACGTAACTTATAAAACCGACTGCTCTTCTCTGTCTCTTTTAGATATCAAGGTAGCTGATCCAGTGGTTGCTTTCTGCGAGACAGTAGTTGAAACCTCATCATTAAAGTGTTTTGCAATGACTCCTAATAAAAGGTGCATATGTTATGCTGTTATAGTCTCCAGCAAAGACCAGTTTATACAAGTACAAGAGTGTTAACCACATTATGAGACAACCCATGAGACCTTTTACAATTAGTTGAGTATAAAACCAAACAATCCTTGTCAGTAGCTGCATGCTTTGCACCGCAACAGTTGATTATAAAATTTTTGGAAGGGTTATTAAGACCCTGAAATATAATTCTACTTTGTATTATTTTTGACCTCCCAAATGGGTCCCAATTTTATTAAATTTTCTGTTATATAATTTGACTTTTTATATACATTTCCTTTACCATATAAGAAACAAGTTGACAATGATTGCTGAGCCTCTTGAGAAAGGATTAGCCGAAGACATTGAAAATGAAGTGGTACAGATGACCTGGCCAAAGTGAGCTCTTTGTTAGCCACACCTACTTACTCCTCCCACTTAGGAAGAAACTTGCTGAGTTTTTCCAGACCAAGTACGAGTGGGACTTATTGGCTGCTCGTTCGATATGGTCCTTCGGTCCTGAAATGACTGGACCCAATATACTGGTGGATGACACACTGCCTACTGAAGTATGGGATCATGTGACTGTCATGTGACTCTTAGTGTGTGTAGGTTGATAAGACCCTCCTCCACTCTGTGAGGGACAGTATTGTACGAGGGTTCCAATGGGGAGCCAGAGAGGGACCTCTTTGTGAAGAACGTATGTGAGATTTTAAATAATGTACTGTCATTGTTCAAAAAAGGGGTCAAAGTCCATAGTACAGGAACATGGGCC